AAAAAAAAAAAAAAAAAAAAAGTTTCTCATCACATAGTTCCCACATTGTTCACTTAATTTCAATCAATTTTTTTCTCTTAAGAAGGGCTTTTGTTTCCTTCTATAGGGTTGCTCTGCTATTCACGCAGTAAGCACCATTTGTTGAAGTAAAGCAATTGGTATTTCAAATCCTTGTAAAATTCCATCTCAGCGAATTGCTAATTAATTGTGTGAGACACACATTTTAGGTTGGCCATTCTTGCATATACGGATAATCTAAGGCTAATGAGTATATTTCAAAAAAGGAAAGAAATTCTTATCATCTTTTTGATCCCACCTGAAATATCTCATTAAAAACAAACAAACAATAAGGAAACAAAAACAAACAGACTCAAGAAGATATCTCCTCCTCTGACCTTCCTTTCAAAGTAGAAAACTTCCACAGACTTCCTTTTAGGCTTCTATGCTGGAGTTCTTTCTATGAACTTTGGTTGTCCATCTCTCTACAAGGCGGAAACATTCTACACCTGAGTTTAAATACTACTAAACCCTACAATCTTTCGTAGGTAGTTGCTGAAGCTTGAAGTTGAATAATACTTAGAATGAAGTACTATGTTACATTGCATCATGAAAACCTTCATTTTTGTAGCTGTCTTTTGATCTTCCCAACATCTCAAACAAATATAGCAGAAACGGAATCTGCAATACCTAAGGAAAAAAACCAAATTGTTAGTACTAGTCTATTTCTTCTTTAGATGACTTTTAAATAGTAAATAAAACATAGTTTTTCATTTGGATTCAGAAAAAGTTAGTATCTACTAAAAAAAAAAATGTAATATTTATCCCTGCCTGCCAATGGAAACATGACATTCTTGAAAGTAGATATTAGAATATTAGAAATATGCCTAATAATTATAATTTTGTTTCAGGAAACTAAAAAAGAAAACAAAGCAAAACTTTTAAAACCCACACACACACAAAAACACAACTGCCTGTTAGCTGAATAAGTTTATGCATCTGGAATCTGTATTTCACTGATATATATTTCTTACAGGCAAAATAACTTAAGGGGTTATTTTAAATACAACTTCATAATTCAAACCCTAAAAATTTGAATTTGAGCAAAATTTCAATAAATACAAGTGTACCATGTTTTCTTTTTTCTTTTTTCTTTTTTTTTGAGTTGGAGTCTCACTCTGTCACCCAGACTGGAGTGCAATGGCCGCTCCCGGCCACCGCAGCCTCGACCTGCTGGGCCTCGGTGATCCTTCCATCTCAGCCTTCCAAGTAGCCGGAATTACAGGCATGCGCTACCACGCCCGACTGATTTTTTTTTTTTTTAAATTTATTGTAAAGATGAGGTCTCACTGCTCAGGCGGGTCTCGAACCCGCGGGCTCAGGCAATCCACTCGCCTCAGCCTCCCAAAGGCACGGGATTACAGGTTGAGCGACCGAGCCCGGTTCCCATGCTTTCTTAACACAAGAAAATAGGTCTCAACATCATGGTGAAAGCATAAATAGCCAATTTGAAGGCTGGAACCACCGCCTTGCAATCTCTTGGGGCTATGAAATACTAACTGCCTTATACCATTGTTCATTAAAGTAATATGACTATCATCAGATGTGAAACTTTCAGGGAATACTCACTTTAGGGAAGGACTTGGTTCCCATATAATTAACATCCGGGCACTGCCTTGGAGACTCAAATTGTAAAGGCAGGTAGAGGAAGAAACAATCTCAACTCACCTTTAGTACTGAGAGTCGGGGAAAGGTCGTGGTGGGGAATGCAGAGTTCTAATTAGGCAACTGTGAATCAATATCTGAATTATGTTTGTGCAACTCTTCTGTCAGTTTTGAAAACAGACACCTATCAGCTCAAATCCAGACACCACCACTACCACAGTTAGAGAATGTATGTTCAGTGGCAGAGGTTCAGTGAGTGGCAGCAGTAATTTGTCTGCAAGTTCCAAAGATGTACATGATACCGATCATGCTGAGAAGTGGTGGCCTGATTGGGTTGCTGATTTTCTAGCCAAAAGATTTCTGCAATGTTGAGTCTTTTAAATAAACAATTTATAGAAAATATTTTATTCAAGTGATAGAATAGGTCATTTATTAACTCTCATGGAGTCTACCTTATGGTATGACTGGACAAGTTACTAGATTGAATCAAAATACAAACTCTCAAATTTTTCTACAAGCTCTCTTTTATCAGTCTCACAATCTGGAAGGTTCTAAAATTTTATAAAAATTTTATATATGCTAGAACTAATTGTAATAAGAAATTAAATGATTGTCCTCATATTCAATATAATTTGGGTCTAGTTTGAGAGAAAAATATGTGATTTTTTTACACCAAAAATTTTAGGGTTTGAATATAGGTTTGAGAATCCGGTTAAAATATTTAACTAGTTATTTTAGTTTGGCTTGTGGTTAATTTAGGAAGTTGTTATTCAATTTATAAAAAAGCACATTTGGTATTTGCCTAAGCCTCTCAATTCAGTGGATGTTCTGCTAGAATTTTGTAGGTGACAAGGGGCATTTTAAGTCAGAAACCATACTAGTGTTCAGACTTTTATATATTTTGAAGCAAAATATATAGAATTAAAATAGATTTTGAAACCAAAAACGGATTTTTTATAATTACTGAACAGATATTATAACATAAAAATTAAATTAACATATTTATACAATGTAAATTTGAAATAAGAAGACATTTCTGGAGAAGTTCAGTTTATCAAGTGAGTGTTTATCTGGTTTTTGAAGTAGGTGACTTTGGCAAATTATTACTTTAGTTTATTTTTGATATATATATAAGAATAATTATTGCATATATTATATACGCAAACTAATATTTTTTCACTATAGTCCCTTTTCCTTTTTAAAATGTGAATATGTGTATTAAAGTGCCTCTTTTAAAACATTGTTTTATCATTTGGCTAAAGGACAAAAAATATTACTGCAAAAGTGATTTGAGTACATTGGTAGCATACAATAAACTGGGCAGGTTTGTATTTTTAATATCTTCAAAAAATACTGATATTTAGCCTAAAGTTTTAAACACAAATGTATGACTTACCACAAGTATTACTTCCCATTTTGACATGGGCATAGCCATCTATTCCCCACGAATTTCCCCATGAGTTCCTCACAATCCAATATGGAGTACTTCCTATCAAACATAAAACAAACAGACAAAGGAAAAAAAAAACCTCTGAAAACCCGTATTTGTTATGAATGTACAAATTTATTTAATGTGAGGCCCCTGATAAGGATAGTAGCTCTGACAAAAAGATTACAAATGAAAAGCAATGCTAAATTAAACTAGTTTACTTAAACTAAGTAGGTAAACCTGAGCTGTACTTAGGATAACAATCCCATCAATAGAAATGCATGTTTTGTTTTGATTTTTTGAGTTGGAGTCTCACTTTGTTGCCCAGGCTGGAGTGCAGTGGCACACTCACAGCCACCCCAGTGTAGACCTGCTGGACTCCAGCGATCCTTCCACCTCAGTCTTCCAAGAAGCCGGAACTACAGGCACACGCTACCACGCCCAGCTAATTTTTTGATATATTGTAGAGATGAGGTCTCGCCAAGTTGCCCAGGCTGTTCTCCAGCCTATGGGCTCATGCAATCCCCTCACCTCGGCCAGTGCTGGGATTACAGACTTGAGCCATCGTGCCTGGCCTTGAAATGCATGTTTGAATTTATTTCACTTAATACAGGGATTGTATGGGGTGGGAGGGGAAACAAAACACTATTCCAAGGAATTAGGAAAAGAAAAAAAGAATGATTATGCATGTATGATAAAATAATAAGCACTTCTCTTTTCCCAGCAATTATCTTAAATATTCCAGCTGGAGAATGCACATTGTTTAAAAAATTATCATCATTTTAACAAGGTATCCATGAGAAAATTGATGGGCGGAACCTGACAGGATCTTTACACCTAAGAATTATTAAGAAGTTGTGACGTTTTGATGAGGACATAGGTACACCAGAACCAAATATCTATATTATGCTGGACAGTGATCATTTGGCAATCAAATTCCAAGCTGGTAAACAATCAACTGAGTCTTATCAGCACTTACCTGTTTTATCAAACCCAGTTATGAGAACTGCATGATTTGCTTCTCCACTAGAGCAGTGGTGCTGTATTATCCCTCCCAGATAATCTTGCCAGCTCGCTGCATCTACTATGACTACCAAAGGGCCAAAGGTGAGAAGTGTTTTTGCCATTTCGTCTTCTTGGCCACTAGCAAAAGAAGAAACATATGGTTAAATGTTTAGATTTTAAGGTAAAAATGAGAATGATGTATTTAATCTGTGTATGGTTATGAGTCAGTTTGGATGTAATTACAGAAGACCTAAACAACGGAGGCTAAAATAAGTCTGGAAGATTGGCATTCTAGGACTGGTATAAGGCCCCAGAATATCAGGAACACAAAGTCTTTCTATAACATAGTTCTATGATGAGAGGTTTCCATTTTGTCAAGGTCTTTTCATGGTCCAGGGTGACTGGTGGGGCTGCAGCCATTTAATACATATTTCCAACAGCAGGAAGTAGAAAGAAAAAGTGTTACATCACTTTTGAGAAGGTTTCCCAGAAATAACACATAACACTTCTGCATACATTTTCATGGATCTCATTGGCCAGAATTCAGTCATATGGCTAAGTCTAGCTTAAAGGAAGATAAGAAATGAGTTTTGTAGCTAACTGGCAAGTACCCAGTTAAAGTATAGATTCTTTTCATAAGGAATGTGGGAGGAATGGATATTTAGAGATAGCTTGTCATCTCTGCCACACCATGTGAGAATCAAAAGACTGACCAATCTATGATACTGAATGTCAAATATGTAAATTACAGGGAAGGGTTATCCAAAGTGGATTATATGATTATATGATAGAAGAAATGTTAAGATGTCAGAGAACGAAGTATTAGGTTATGAAGACTGCAAAATAACACAATTATTGCTTTCACACATAGATATCTACCAATAAGGTCTTATGTTACATAACATTTGTCCTTCATTGATCTTGAAAGTATGTGATGAAACCATTATTTACACTTTTCAAAGGTCAACTTTGTAAGTGAAGGGCACTAAAAACAAGTTACTGATAGTTCAGTTCATTAAAACAGCATTTGTAGTTTATTGCTACAGCAAGTCATGAGTGGATTAGTGGTTTAAAAGAGTAAATAATCCTTCATGATGAACAGCTGGAGAATACTTTCTAGAGAGGGAATATTTTGTCCACAGAACACCAAAAATCAAATGCATAACAATGGAATTTACTGAAATGGAAACTATAGATTCATTTGAAACATTTGTTCATGTTACCTATTAATATGAAGATCTGCTTTTAGATCTCTATAAGCAGACACTTCTAATTTTTGTTACTGAAATGATGGTTGAAATTCATTAATATTATCCTGATACAGTCAAAATTATACAATTCTTTAAAGGCATCATGATAGGGTATAAGTTTTTAATTTTCCTACACCTGGCTTCAAATTCCACCAGAAGACTGTGGTCATTCCACCTATCATGCGGAATCAATATATATCCTACAATTTTGCAGGATATAAATGATATAGCATGCCTAGCACATAAACATTATTTAATTCCCTCATTTATCAGTTATCTAACAACTAATTTTGTTCAGCATAGGATTTAGTGTAAATTAAACATGATATAATAGCAACCTCAGTATTAACCAGAACCAGAACACAGCTGTTTCCATCACTTTAAGATAACAAAAAGAATAAACATCAAAGATCCAGTTACAGGGAAACCATGAAAGAAGCAGAAAGATCAAGAAGAAGAAACATTTTTTAGAATTTAAAGGATAATTAACATTTTAGGATCAAAGAAACAGTTTAGTAATAATCCCTGCTTTGAGTCAGAGATGAAGAAAATATATTAGAAATTAAGAAACAGGACAACAGTCATGGTCACAACCAGCAGGTAAATGTCCCGTCTGGACCTAGAAATGACTGGTCTTGTTACCACTGGTATTTCAGAAAGATCTTGGCTTTCAGTATGTTAAAGTGAACTCCAAACAGTATTTTTATTTTCACTATAAGACTAATATAGAACTACTATCAAAATGTACACTGTTGATAATGGACTATATTATCAAACACTGATTCCATGAGCTTACTCTTCATTTCACAGATTAATAACTTATAAAATCTATAGTGTTCAAAATAATCTCCTAAATTTTATTGTCAGCAAGATTTGGTGATTAAGGCAAGTCTGACCTGTTTCTGACACTTGATTATGTAGATTTCTGTCTCATCTTCCCTAGAACACAGTGTGTTATATTATATCCTAATTTTTCTGGCCATTGTTATATTTCGTAGTTTCTCTCCCATTTTGTTTAACTAATAAAATAGTTATTCTCATATTTTATTTAGAATTCTGAAATTTCTGAGGTCTGATGAACAAAAAAAGTAAGAAGTCTTGGTGTGAACTGGCCATTTTGCTTTAAGAAGAGAGTATGTTTTCGTCTTTGTTTTCCTTCTTAGATCTTTTCAGGTTCTGCACAATTTTTTACAGAGTTTCTGGCTGATGTCTGTGTTCTAGGCTAATATTGTCTAAAGACTGAAAAACTAGGAGTTCATAACCTTAATGACAGAGTTGAGGGAAGGTATGAGCTTGGAGTTGGACAAAAAAGCCTTCTAATCTGGCCCTACAGCTTATTAGCTGTCTGAACCTCCCTGAATCTCAGGCACCCATCTCAGATATAAATAACATTATAGAGTGCTAGGAACTGGTCTGGTGCCTGATTATAGCAGATGCTTTGGAAGCTTTTCCCACATCTTCTGGCAATTATCACAAACGCACAACAGAGCAGCTTGCAACATTAAAACCCTGTAGCTCTTTGCTTGAGCCATTCCCTCTTGGAGCTAGAAGAACAAACCAGTGGCAACCTCAACTAACGAATCATGAAAGATAATGATCATCAACTTGGGCAAATGGCACTGAAGTACATATTTTACCCCAGTCCCCAGAGTTCCTCAATAGGATTAAGCACAAGGTAATCCACAGCACTAACTGGCTTAATAAAGAAACCCTGCTTTCTTCATTCTATCTCATTTCCCCACTTCCTTCCCAATGATTCCTAGGACCACTTCCTACATATCGCAACTGAATTCTTGATATTTCCTTCTAAATCTCTTCCTTAGACTTTCATGTCTCATTAATGGTAACTCCATTTTCTGCCTCATTCAGACCAAAAAAACCTGAAATCCTCCATAATTTCCTTCCCTTTTATATCCTATTAAAAAATTGTGTATAGCTTTACTCACTGTGAAAGGTATTCATCTATTGTCTCTCATCTTCAAGGTCACCCTTCCAATACCCTATTCTAAGGCTATTACTTGCTGACTAATATGACCTCATCTCCTACTATTTTTGTCCTTTTTCCATTACAGCCATACTTGCTTATTCTCCAAATGTGCCAGATAAGTTTTTGCCTCAGGACCTTTGCATGCACAATTTCCTCTGCTTGGAACAGTGTTCCCAAATAATCTGTACGGTTAAGTCCTTATACCTCTTCAAGATTTATTCTGCCCAGATCTGTCCTCTTCTCCCTACTGCTTTCTTCAGAAAGTTATTACATCTTTGGAAGTTATTACATCTAACCCTCAATACATATTTTTTGTTTTGTATATTGCCTTCCTTGTCACCAAATATAGTCCACGAGGCAGGGTTTTTGTCTGTTTTGTTCATGGCCAAATCCTCAGGGTCTAAACAAATTCAGTTGATATTTGAATGAATATATCGAAGAATGATCTTCTTGAAGTCTACTATAATCAGCTTAGCATTGTATTATCAGAGAACATAATGTTCACTGTGAAGGAGAGATTTTTTTTGAGATCTCTTCCTTCTTAATCAAAGGCCCAATGTCAATAACCCTTGAATATTCTTTCTCTCTCTCTCTCTCCTGTTTCAGACTAATGTCTATTGTTCTTTTGCTTCTTCCTATGTTTTTCAATTTCCTCTATCCATGACAAGAGATTCCCTGAGTCCCTTTTAATGATATTTTGAAATCTATTTTCTTCTTGTGCACCCCCTTCCATTAGACACTCAAGCCACTGACAGCTTACAGAGGCATACTTTCTCATTTTAAAAAGCACGTTACCTTTACCCCCAAACGAGATGTTTATCTATGTACTCAGTCATCCCATACATTTTATTATAAACCTGTGCAGCCTGCCAGCTGTGGAATTAAGCCTCTCTAGCATATGGTTCTTAGGGTCACACAGAGTGCCCTTGTTGCAGACTGGTGCTATGTTGACAATCTGCCAGTTCCTGGGCACACATTCTCATTTAAAGGTGTTACATGTTGTTCAAGGATGCAATTTCACCCTTTATTTCCTTCAGATCCCGTGGGTAGATACCATATAGATCAAGGGATTCCTTTATATTCAGTATCAGTAAGTCACAGAGTATTCTGTTACCTTATCCAAATTTAATTTAGCTCCTATTTTCTGTTTCAAAGGACTGTGCAAAGTTCCCTTCATTTTTTTTTTTTTTTTGAGTTGGAGTCTCACTCCGTCGCCCAGACTAGAGTGCAATGGCCGCTCCCGGCCCACCGCAGCCTGGCCTGCTGGGCTCCGGTGATCCTTCTGCCTCAGCCTTCCGAGTAGCCGGAATTACAGGCATGCGCTACCACACCCGGCTGATTTTTTGATTTATTGTAGAGATGAGGTCTCGCTGCCCAGGCGGGTCTCGAACCCGCAGGCTCAGACAGTCCACTCACCTCAGCCTCCCAAAGGCGCGGGATTACAGGCTGAGCCACCGAGCCCGGCCTTTCATGTTTTTTTAAAATGAAGTCAGAAGTTGGTTGAGTCCTCCTTTGTCCTTTTCATCCTTGAACAACTATTTTGCACTACAGCAAATAGTTATAATGATTCCCTAGCCAGCTTGGTGTTTTTCATATGTTTTTAACACATTTGCAAATGAATCTAGCCAAAGTTAGCTTGCTCTTCAATTCCAACACAGGTCCTTTTCCTCAGCTTATCTTCATTTATCCCTGCACTCTCACTGTGATTATGGTGTGTGCTATGTAATTTATCTTCAGTCATATACTCTTACTTCTTATTTCCAATCTGAAGTTTTGATTTATATTTTTCTTATAGTTGTCACCTTGAAAAGTGCAAAAAACATAGAAGGTGTTCAAAAAATGCTTCCTGGTATGTACCCTGCTTGATATTAGCTAGAGAGTCCAAATAAAGCAATTTTGGATTGATTCACCATTAAGATTTAAACACTGCATACACATAGACATAACAAAATGCATATAAAACACCAGGGACCCCAAGGAGAAAAAGGAGTGGGGAAAAGGGTTGAAAAAACTACCTATTGGGTACCATGCTCACTCTTTAGGCAATGTGTTCAATAGAAGCCCAAACTTCACCATTACACAATATACCCATTTAGCAAGTCTGCAAATGTACCTTTGAACCTAAAATTAGAAAAAGGAATATATTAATAATACTACAATACCTAAATTTGGTAAGAGAAAGGTGGTAAATATAAGTTATACCTTAAAATGAATTTAAGCTTGTTATTTGCATTGTAATGATACATAGAAAATAAGTTACATTTAAGAAACAACATTTATAATACTCCCTTGAGATCGCCAGCTAGCCTCTCTAGTAAAAAGTGTGTTTGATGTCAGATGTCAGTTGCTCCATGGATTCTTGACTTTGCTGCAGAAAAGAATTTCAGAGCAAGTCCAAAAAGTACAGATGAAAGAAAAGTTTATTATAAAAAGAAAGCACATGTTCAAGAAAAAATGCAGGTACCTTGAAAAAAAAAAAAAAAGGACACATGCTTGCCTTTGACAAGAAGTCTTTTATAATTTATGATGATTAAGGAAACTATTCCATAAGCTAAGAGTGTAAAGCTGTAATTCTGTTCACAAGTTTTGATTACTATCTCTCAATCTTTTAAGGTCACAAGGACCTTCTAAATAATGAACGTTACTGCCTAAATAGATTTGGGCTTTTTTTTAGAACATCATTTTTCTGTGTTTTGGGTAATTCCCTATTGTTTTTGTGCACTGGTAGTTTCACATTCTAACCCGCAAGGGGGTCCGGTTTGATATGCCTGGTGAGTGAGATGAAGGCTGTGGACTGATAAGAAAGATGACTGAGCACTTATCCACTTCTACATTATGAGGTCTGACAATTGTTTGTAACTTCATCTTAGAAAAACTGCTACATACTTCATTACTGAATATAACTATGATCATCTTTGAAGTACTCTGCTTGGGAAACACACTGATGCCAGTACCTACTCCACCCATCAAAGCAATTTTGGAACTCTTTTTCTGGAATGGCTATCAGAGCTGTTGTTATATTACTCTTGATATAATGAATGCCATCAAAATTTCTTTCTTTCAAAGTCATTGGAGGCCAGATCAGGTGAGTAGGGATGCTGTTCCAATACAGTTATTTGTTTACTCCCTCACGGTGCTATGTGAGCTGGTGCATTGTGATACAAGAGTTCCTTTGGGACCATTTTTGCACACACCTTTCTCATGCCAGGATTTTCAGTTAAGATTTTCTTTGGTCTGCTATGATTCTCACCGTCAGTTGATGGTTTTTGACACAGAATTTGATGAATTTTTGCAATGTTTTCATCAGTGCTGCTCATTATTGGCTGTCCTCACTGCTCTTCATCAGTGATATTTCTCTTCCCTCAGAAAAAACATTTAATCCATTTGTACACTTCTTTTTCTTCATGGCATTATTCCCATAAACTTGTACTAATATGTTGCTGATTTCACTTTCACTCTTGCCAAGTGTAACAAGAAATTTAATGTTTGTACATTGCTCTAATTCAAATTCCAACTTTCTCGCAATGACAGCTCTGATGGCCATTCCAGAAAAAGAGTTCCCAAATTGCTTTGACGGGTGGACTAGGCACTGGTGTTGGTGCATAGCTTCCCAAGAGGAGTGCTTTGAAGTGACCATAGTGATATTCAGCAATGAGGTATGTAGCACTTTTTCTAGGATAAGTTCACAAACACAATTGTCAGACCTCATAGACTTGCCTAAGAAAACCTTGTAGCTACTTCTAAACTATGTTAACTATGCCTGCCTCCAGTTTTAAAACATTTAAGAGTGAAAGGACAGACCGAGAGTGGGAAGTCATTTTTCATCTTGTTCTTAAACCCTGACACAATCATGAGAAAATAGAAGCTGTGCTTTTGGAGAAATGCACACTTTAGGTGTAATTAACTTCACCGACTTTGTCTTTTCAGAAACAGACTTCCAGGTATCAGAGGTATCTCATAGTGGCAATCAAGCTTGCCTAGAGTAAAGGGAATTTACAAGGCCTAAGATATCATGCATTGGGCAAGGACTGTAAAACTCATGAAACTTGTAATTACAAAAGTTATGACCACTCAGAGGGAGAGCAGGTGGGGATTTGATCTTCCAGTAAATTGGGCACTATCTACAGGGAAGCCAAGGATCCCCCAAGCGACCCACTGGGAATGCCTAGGAGATAAGGGGAGGTGCACCCTCCACTAGCTCTAAGGAATGTTGTTTGGGAAGGTGCAGGAGAATTAGAATCCTTGTCATGCCCTTCTCTAGGAGCTGTGATAATGTGGGCGGACATTAATGGCTCTCTGTCACAGGATCTCCAAGACATCCACAGGTGGTCGACAAGGAAGTCATAGCAGTCATGGCAGTCATCTGCAACATCTCCAAAAGAAGGATTTAAGCCAGGACTCTGGGGGGCTATGAGGCCACACTCACCTAGAGTGTAGGCCCACTCCCTGTCTGTGGGAGGTGAACTTTTCTTAAATAAATCTTTTCTTCTCTCACCTCTGTGTGTCGCAATTCTTTGCAATCTACTCAGATCTCTGGGTTCCCGGCGGGCACCTCTGGTTTGCCAACCCCAGCGGTGCCGCGCACCTTGCCACGCCTCTCCATTTTCCCTCACCCTGGCCGTCCGTACCCTAGCAAAGAGTATGCAGTGATGCTTTTAATTAAGTTATTAATTCTGAATAGTTAACAGGTTGTGAATTAACATAGAGAGTATAGGGTGCAAAGAACCCCAAAATGTGGTGTTTTGCCTCAAGATCTCTCCCAAGCGGCTTTTTCTCCCTTTTAAAATTATCTGTTGCAGGAATGAGGAGGAAGTATCCTTTCACAAAAGAATGCCTGTCTTTCAGGGTTCATTCAGCTTCCAAAGAGAACTATTTGCAAGTCATTCTCCCAATCATTTGTTGTCCCTCAGTAGAACTCCTCTTCCTCCCATTCCCATAAACTGTTTTACCAGAATGCAGGTCCCTATTAAATAACCTCACGATGATATTTGTTTCTGTAACTCATCGGAAAGTTGGGTTTCATTCCGAATCCTCCCATGTATACCTGTTAAATAAAATGTGTATGCCTTTTCTCCTATTAATTAATCTGCCTCATTTCAGTGATTGTTTCAGTGAACTTTTAGGGGGCCAAAAGTCATGGCCCCCACAAAAGAAAAACAAAATTGAATAAGATATTTACCTGAAATCATATGCAGAAAAACCTTTGATTGAAAATCCAGATTGTGAAGCAGAAAAGTAATGGCACAGGCCATTTTGTGCTTTAAAAGGATATTCTGACTCTCTCACCAGTTTTACTTGCATCTAAAAGAAAACAATCAGTCAAAATGTTCACTGTCATTTGTATTAAAAATCAGATAGAACTTATTTCATTGTGTCAAAATAGTTCCCATTTCACCACACCTTCATTATGTGGATATACTGTGCTTTTAAGATAAAAAATTAAATATTTATGTGCAAAGTCTGGATATCCCAGACACTGATGCCAATATATTTCTTTCTTCTTTATTTCTGCTTTTCTTATAACTTTCTTTCCTACAACCTCAATTAATCTGATAATAGAATCTCATTATTTTTCTCCTGAGAGTACAATAAGACAGGTCACTTTCCTCCCAGGTCTTCTGGCTCTGTGTTAACAAGTCTTTGAGATGCCAACCAGGCAAAGGCTAAGTCAAGCATTCTATCATGTCTGTTTATGCTACTCATAAAGAGAAGCCTCTTTTTCTGAATACTAGGCTTATTGTTGTCTACAATGTGTGTAGAACAGGTCCTGGAATAAAATGATTCAAGATACAGCAGATGGATAATGGAAAGACATTCAGGTTTGGGAAACTCTGGCTTGATGACATTTTACAAAACATAATATCACTCTTACCGGCAGGTTTCATGAAGTTGACACTGGATCTGTAATGAGGTCAGAGAGAGCCCTAAGAACACTGAGAGACACTAGTATACTGAGCAAAGCCTTACGGAAAGAAGCAGGGGACTTAAGGTGCAGCTCTGGCTCAGCTACTGACTTGGAAACATGAGCTCACCTCTCTGGTCTCATTTCTTCATCTATTAAAAAAAGCTACAAAATTAGTTTTTTAGGATTTAAAAGGATCTCTAGTGTTTTTTTCAATCTTACCATTCAGATATTCATTAAAATAAATAATCATGTGCACTCATCTTTCTGGGCATTATGTGATCTATATCTGCCAAAAAAGCATTTACTTATACAGAAAGGTTAAGAAATAACATAAATATTTTAAAAGACAGATCTCAGACAAAATTTTTCAATCTTTCTTTTCTTGGTGACTGGTCTGCCTGAAAGCTTTCATCTTTAAATCTTCTGATTAATTCAAGCTTCAAGCTTTGGTCATCTAAATCTGTGAATGTGGAAAGCTTATTTAATATCTGACAGCAAATTGTGTGGATTCTGAACACACAGTAAAAAAGCAAAAGAGGAAATACAGAGTTTTGAAGGCTGAGAGATGTGTCACCTTGTTTAGCCAGTTGAGGGCATTGAGAGGTGACCCTCCATTGCAGCCGTAATTATTGTATGAACAGTCAATGACCTGCTGTACGCTTAGGTCTTCCAACGGCTTCCCTTTTATTGCACACGCAGATTCTACTGCGCCCACCACGCTGAAGGCCCAGCATCCCCCACACTGTTGAAAAATAGAAATGAGAGTAGGACTATTTACCAACTAGTGTTTGAATCAATTTACAGATATACATTTAAATATAAAAAGTCATCTGTATCATGGTAGCCCCAAATCAGACAGGATGCTCACGTAATGTTTACCTATTTTGACAATCACCAGGAGGACAGGTTGCTAAAGACATGGATTTATTAATACTTACAGGAGGAAATTAATGGTGGCTCTCAGTACAAAGTTCTCTGCCTCTCAGTAAACAGAGAGATTATATACCCCTGCTGGGATAAAGGAGTGTGACTCAAACAACAGCATGAATATCCCCATTATGGAAGGGTTGAGACACAAACAATAGTATGACATGCAGAGAAACAAGAACAAGGATGTTTGTCAACTTAGCATGCATGTGCCTTGAGTCAGCAGGTATGTATATCTCTAAAATATCTTGACCAGGTTCAAACGGCCTTGGCCAGGGGCCATCTTCCAAGCAGGGAGTAGTCATCAGGGGAGGGGCAGTAGGGTATATGTATTTACCCCACATTATCAAATCAAATAAAGTTTACAGAATCTGGAAACCTACAAGACATATATACCTATCTTCTAGATATTCAAACTGAAAACGAAAAAACAAACCCAGAAGTATCTTTTGAACTATGACATTTAATTATTAGTTAATATGGAATTAATAATATTATTATTCTAAGTTAAGCCATGCAAAAGTGAAATTTTAAAGATTAGTAAACACTTGGGCTCACTGACTAATCTTTTAAAAGACTAGTTCAGTTCATTAAACATGTGACTGCTCTTTGTAAATGGCTTTTCTACTGGAGAGGGTGTGCTGACTGCCACCCCATTTTTCAATCCCCCCTCCCTTGCTTTTAATCTCCACATCCCAAGTGTAGGAGTCAGTAAGGAGATAAGTTGGAATAGGATGTATGTTGCACTCATTACTTGATGGAAACAGGAGCTGAAGGAATTCCTTTTTAGGTTATCAAAATACCAGCATGTACCTACCAAGTAGGAAAACACATGAAATTCCCTAGCCATATAAACCCTATTGTGAACTTATTAACTTTTTTTAAAATTTGACACACTATAACAAAAGAATAAAAGGAAAAGTCCTGAAAGAAAGAGAGGAGATAGAGGTAATAAATTAAGGACCATGTAAAAAGAAGGAGCCACAGAAAAAGCAGAGGAGAGAGTAAGATTTGAAATGGAGTGAAACTGATTTAATCATAAAACCATGTGCTGCAGTTAGGCCAAAAATTGAACAGCAATCGAATGTCTTTATGGAGTGATATCTTGAAGACCTTTGTCGCTTTAAGTGGGCTTTTACGTCTGTATCTCTTCAGTGCCAATGGCATATTAATATTTGAATTAACTGGCCCTACAGCAGGGTTTCCAAGGCTTGACAGATGCGAATACAGGCTGCTGACACCATCCCTATAGTTAACTTTAGTCAAGCCACGGAGGCAGTTCCTGCTAAAAAAAAATAATAAATAATATATATATATCTATATATCTATATAGATATATATATATCTTCAGTGTATTCCTTTACTTAAAGATGCCTAGTAAAAAGTTCTCCTTTAATACACTGTAGACAATTGTTGGAAGGATTCTGTTTATGTCTAATTCACAGAGTACTACGAGTCTAATAATAAAGCAAATGATTTGGTGGTAAAAATTAAATGCACAAAAAATATATAGAATCTATGTTATAAAAAGGATCATTCTAACTAGACATTGACTGAGAAACTGCTGTGTTCAAAACACTTTCCATACAAGGGAAGGCTGAATGACCTGTTGAGATTTATACTGCAGACAAACTACAGACAAACTAAGACTGTCTACCTGTGGTCAGGGCTTGACTTTCCCTAGTCAGTGGGCATTTCTTATGTCAACACCAGGGATGCAGATGGATGGTGGATGTCAGCAATGCATACATACACCCTCAAACACATATACCAGCTAGACAGATTCACTATGTGCATTATAGGTTATACCCACCCACATATTATGTTACCACTTTCCTTCTGATTTCAGAGCCTCCACCTTCTGTCACTTCATAATAATAACTCACTAGATTCAGCTCTTCCAACTCCCCTGTCTGCAAGCACGCTTTAGGTCTTTTTTGAGGTACATTGTTATATTTATTGCCGTACTTACATATTTCTGAATAATGTAACGTGTAAAACTGCATACTGGGTTTATCAGTTTTCCATCTTTTAAAAAATATGTCACTGAATAAGTATTTAAGCATTAAAGACCTAACCTCATTTTCCCCATAATCCCAGTTGTTTTACTGCACAATTTTGCATAGGTGGTGATTTTTAGAAATGTGTACATCACATTAAAGCCAAACCAACTACCGACCACACTGTTAAAGACCACAGAATAAAAGCTGCATGATCTCACAGGATGAGGGCAGGGCTTTCCAAATGAGTTCACAGAAGGAGGCCTGAGAACTCAGGAGATCTGTTGATAAATGTATCATTTTCACATACTTTTTCAGTGTTGTTTTCCTTTTGAACCTCTTAAACCATCAATGATCATGTTTACCTTCTCCAGTTACTCAACAGAAGGCTTGGTATTTGTAATGCAGCTACCAAAAAGTCTCCCTGAGTTAGTGTGCTGGTGCCAGTGGTAGTTGGTGAGAGAACACAGCAAGGAAGATTCATCTTAAGAAATAAAAGTCAGCCGGGCTCGGTGGCTCAGCCTGTAATCCTGCGCCTTTGGGAGGTTGAGGTGAGTGGACTGCCTGAGCCCGCGGGTTCGAGACCCGCCTGGGCAGGTGAGACCTCATCTCTACAATAAAATTAAAAAATTAGCCAGGCGTGGTAGCGCGTGCCTGTAATTCCGGCTACTCGGAAGGCTGAGGCGGAAGGATTGCCGGAGCCCAGCAGGTCGAGGCTGCGGTGGCTGGGAGCTGCCACTGCACTCCAGTCTGGGTGACAGAGTGAGACTCCAACTCAAAAAAAATAAATAAATAAAATAAAAGTCAGGGCTTTGATACCTGCCTCTCATTCCTCCAAATATTTTCTTTTTATTGTCATTTTTGGATGATTGAGATGTGATTTTTCCTAAAGAAATGATGAGTTGTATTATAAGTTTGATTAAATTTGACCTCAAAGTTGACTTTCAATGCTTAGAAGGTTAACAAAAGGGTCTAAAACTTACCATCTGCTGGTTTCTCACTTGTGTTACAACATGCTTGTCCCTCCAGTCAAATCTTATTGGCAAAGAGACATTGGGGATGGACAGTTGTACTTCTGCTAAGTATCTGGGAAACCTGGAGGGTTTGCTTCTTAAATAAATGGCTGAGTAGAAACACAAAATGAAAAGAGAACTAATATTACATTACAAGAAAGGACTCTTGGAATTCTTTTTGGAGAAACTTTGTAAGCAGAAACAGTATCTTCCAAGCAGACTTACCATTTTAGATTTTCCTTTTTGCTTTTCTATAACATGAAATGCATTCAGATGAAAGTTATAAAAGAAAAGAATTTCTACAATAAGGTTGGAGTTGACTCATACAATAATTTTTTTGATACAAACAGGGAAATAATAAAAATGACTATAGGAGGGGGACTCAAAAAAAAAAATAACCCAGAATTTATTCATACAAAACTGTGTATTCTTACGTATTTAATTAAGCTTTATTCGCCTTCAAAGTACTCTTTGTTTGATGCAATGCAACTATCAAGACACTTTTTCCATTGCCCAAAACATTTTTTAAACTCATCAATTTTGATGCCTTTTAGTGCTTCTGCCATTTTTTTTTTTTTTACTTCTTCCACACTGGTAAAACATTTCCCTCTGAGGACTTTTTTCATCCAGGAAAACACAGAAGAGTCACTCTTGGGGTGAGATCGGTTGAATACAGAGGGTAGAGCATGGAAGTCATGCTGTTATTGGTCAAAAACTACTGAACACTAAGGGAGGTGTGGGCAGGCACATTGTCATGGTGGAAGAACCAGTCACTTGTTTGCCACAGAAAAAATTAACAGAAGATGAACACAGCCTCTCACAACATTAGCTGATACACTGATGCTGACAGGTTCCTAGAACACTTACCTAGCAGGGGAACCCTGTGCTACAAGGCGCCTGCCTTCTAAAAGATGATTCTGGATTTTGGGGAATCCTCCTTGTAATTGACATCATTTGTTCTATCATAATCTGTGGGGAAATGGGTGTCTTGAATAGCAATAGCACTAGAACACTGCAGAAGTGATGAGACAATTGTCCTTTAGAGTCACATGAAAATGTGTATAATTATAATATTTATTTCCTAGGCAATAACTGCCAGAAAGTGGTATGAATTTATCTTTCTTGTGATCAGTATATGGTACATGCTTGACACTTGGTAATTACTTAATAAATGTTAACCTTTAGTCAATTTGCTACATTTACAATTAAACACTCCTCAAAAGTTAAGCAAACAAGAGAAAATTAGGAAATAAATCAAATAATCAGATCATACCTTTAAATTCTTCAGGAAACAAATAAGAAAATTGATTTATTCCATAGAAGGCAGTGGAGTTTTCATGAGGAAATGAATTCAAGTATTGATACCTGTTAAGACTTGCCTAAAAGGAAAAAAAAAAAGCTATTTTATATCTACTATATCAATTTTCTATCTATAGTCTATATATGAGTAATTATCTCTATATAGTCTATATATAAGCAGTCTGAGATATTTTTCAATTACAAAAGCCAAAGCTTGATTTTCTGCAGATTACAATATGAATTTGTATGAGATATCCATACCAGATTAAACAACATTTCATATTAGAACTAATATCTAATTTCAGACCTTTTTTGGAGGCTGAGCAAAGTATATCTTATCCATTTCTAATTCCTTTTCACCAAACATGTAGAAAGCATTACGTATATAGCTGCTAAAGTCTTGATATAATGAAAAATGAAATAAATGGCAAATAAGCACTAGACACTGGTGGCAAATGGTCACCTATAGACATTTACTCTTTATAAATATCGGAAGTGTCCACTTCATCTTTGTGTTTCCCAGCACTAAGTAATGAAGCATGAAAAAGAACTGAGTAAATGAATGAAGCAATCAATCTAATTCTATTAAAGCTTTATAGATGTCTCTGTCTCATGTAGGGTACATAGGCTTTGCGAAAGAGATGCAGTCCTGGAAATCATCCAGGAAGACACCCTGATTTTTCTATCTGGAGAGAAAATGTTACCATTATTTGAAGATTCCTCAAATATAATTCTGTGATAATTTATTTTAGGCTTGTCGTTCATATGAGCAAGCTTCAGTTTCCCAATACTAATCAATGGAATTGAACGAATAAAACTTCAGGAGACCTCCACTTAGTAAGTTTCAGCCTTACTCTTCTATATATTTGTTTATTGTATATCTGTTTCAAAACCTTATAAACAAAATGAGGAGTGGCCTATCTGTGTTATTCATCATTGTGTTACCATCACTGAGCACAGACCTGGCACACAAGTGATCCTCAATAGGTTTTTGCTCTTGAACAAACAGATAAATGACATTTTTCATATATCATACCTCAAAAGCTGCCAGCTGTTACACTGTTAAGCAAATTATTGCTGGGTGTTATCATAATCTCAGTTCTTCCTTTTTAGCATGCCCAGGAAGATTGCTAATCAATGAATTAATTAAGTTTTTTGAGTTTTAGGCATTCAAAAATAATCTTGATGAAACAGGGCTTTGAATGAAATCTTAATATATAAATATAAAAACAGACCTAAAATACAAAGTAATTCTGCATGTGGCAATTAAACATAAGCCGGTAACTCCCAGCTGCTAAGGAATTCAGAGGATTCATTTAATCAGTAAGTACTGACTGGCCATCCTTGTGAGCTGGAGTCCTCAGGAAAGCATTGAGAACGTGAGACATTAAAGACACGAAAGAGCATGTGGTGGCCATGAGAATACACTTCACAGATCTCCATCTATAGGGAGCTTAGGTGGCACTCATTACATTGCCATGATTACACTCACAGTAGCCATAGTTCTTACAGACTGCACCCTGTTAATGACTGAGCACTAAGGCTGGCGATTTGGAGGAAACATGTGACTCCCTTGGCAGGTGGTTTCTGATTAATGCCTCCTGATGGCCTTGCCAAGTCTTCAAAACTCTTTAAAATGTGAGGCAGTATAGAAGGTTTCCTCTGACCTTCCTTTCCTCTATTCTTCACTCAGGGTTAGAGTTACTTTGCAATCAGATCTCTTTACCTGGCCCTCTCCCCATTCTCTGACATTAATTAATGGTGATCTATACCAGCAGTCCTCAACCTTTTGGAATTAAGGACTAGTGTCATGGAAGACAATTTTTCCACAGAAGGGAGGTGGAGGAGGGAGGAGGGATGTTGGTTTGGGGAAGGTTCAAGCACATTATATTTATTGTGCAGATCAGCAGTGGCATGAGATTCTCATAAGGAGCACACTACCTCTCATGCATGTAATTCACAATCAAGTTCATGCTCCTATGAGAATCTAATGCCACTCTTGATCTGACAAGAAGTGGAGCTCAGGCGGTAATGCGAAATGTGAACAATGGGGAGCAGCTATAAATATAGATGAAGCTTCCCTCACTTGCCCACTGCTAACCTCCTATTGTGTGGTCTGGTTCCTAACAAGTCACAGGGACAGTACCAGTCCCTGGCCAGGGCATTGGGGACCCCTGAATACCATGTTCATGGTTTGGAAGACTCAATATTATTATGATAGCAATTTTCCTCACACTGATCTATAGATTAAATGCAAATCCCATGAAAATTCTAACAGATTTTTTTTAAAAAAAGAAACTGACCATTGAACAAGGGACTTTCAAAGTTTGATATAAAAGAAAAATAATATCAAAATTAGTAAAGTTGACTACAAAAACCTTCAGTGTACCACAATAACTGTGCAAAAAATTGAAAAGCAAATGAAGCCTATAAAAACTATCTACATATAAATGTTATTAATACAGGGATTTTCCAATTATTGAGAAGAAAATGAATTACTGATAGAAAAACCAGTAAAAGTAACTAATTGCATATTATCAAGAATATAAAAATGCCTTATTACCAAATACATAGTTTCTTTAGTCTCAAAGTGATGCTAAGTAAAATAACAATACCATCTTATTTCTGTCTGTGAACTCTGTACCTTGTTTATAAAAGTAAGATTCATTCTTCAAGAGATCACTGAGAAATGAGAATACACCACACACACACACACACACACACACACACACACACACGAAGTATAAAGGGCTACACCCTTTCAAGATCCTTTAAATTGTGCATATTGTTTGAGAAAAAATTTAATTCTCTGAATGTATTTTAATCTTACAAGTGTGAGCAATGCTGTAGCCCCAAGCATTATGGGAGCATGTGTGGGTTCATACATGTGTGTGGCTAGGAGGGGAGGGATAGTTTATCCACACACTTCCCATTTAGTTGGAGAGCTAATGCAAGTGTATCTTACTAGATTACTTTTATAATCTATCAGAAAAACAAAATATTGCCACTCTGAGTTAGTGAAGATCAGATTAAAGTCAAAATGCTTAGAAATAAGCAAATGTATACATCTTTTTCTCAGTGAGTTCCCAAGTACCTATCTTAATTTTTGCATTGCTTCAGGAATGTCATTCCATCATTCAAATTTTACTCATTCTGGTTGTGATGCAGTTATAATAACATCAACTTAATAATGAAAGAAATGAATATATTCTTGAATTATTTTAAATATTCATGCCCCTAATTTTTAATGATTATTCTTAATATCAGTTACTGTTTGTGGTCTTAAGCATGTGTTTGAAAACACAAATATTTCTATCCACATACACTTTCTGAGTGACGTCACTTCATCCATTATTATTTGACTTATATCAGCAGCATCAGTGTTTTCAGGGCTTATGGAAATGTTGCTCTCTTCCTCTTACTCAACCAAATTCTGGGAATCTCATTTGTCAATGCTGTATGCCATTCCAGTGCAAGCCTTCCTGTCATAATGTTCCACAGCCCATGCCAAGGCTACTCAATATTTATCATCATTATTTCTTGCCAAGAACATACTCTAAATTTCCAGTGCTCTTCTTTGTTCTCTCCCTACCACTAATATCTAATTCCTCCTTTTGACTTTACAAAACCACCAAGAGCATTAAAAGTACTTCCTGGACAAAACATAACTCTCTTATAGATCTACATACACACAAACACACACATACAAATCCAATTATGAGTGGATTTATTTAAACTCTTAGCTTTGCAACAAACAGAAATGTCTTACCATTGCTGTGCGATTTTGGCTATATCCTCAGTCTCTCTAAGCTTCATTTTTCTTCATTGACAAATGGAAATAATGCCAATCTGGCAGAATGTAAGGATTAAATATGATAATGTTTACAAAACGCATATTACATGGGGGCTAGAGGAAGATGGCAGTGGAGCCAGTTGGACTAAGCAATTCCCAGTGTGAGTGAATGAGTGTACAGTAAATTTTGCATACATGTTGGTAAGTAAGTGGGCATATGAGCGGCTGACTGAGTGGGGGCTTAGGAGCAAGTGACCAGGGTGCTCCTGGTAAAGTTGCTGATGCCGCAGCTGCTCTGCCTGGTCCCTAGCATTTCCCCGGGTGCAGAAGCTAAACACCATTTTTTAAACCAAAAAAGGCCTTCCTAGGAAGAAACTGCTGGGAGAGACTTCTGGCTTCAGGTTCTGCTTCGTCACTGCAGCAGGGGAGACTGCTGGCTCCAGGCTCAGTCTCACCACTGCAGCACCTGGCTGGATACTGGCAGCAAGGCCTGTGGAGGGAGCACAGTGAGGGAGCCCAGAGGCAGAGCCCACTGGAAAAGATGAAAGAAGCACCCTACTACCATCTTGGAAACTGGACAGGAAAGTGCTCTGGCTTGCTCACCATGGAGCAACAGACCCAATCTCTGTGACTGGTGGATTAACTGCCCAGGAGTTGATTATGAACCAGAGGGAATATCCTGATAGTGCAAACTCTGGAGGGACAGGGCACGTGCTGAGTCTCAGGCACCCTACCCCCTACCCTGATTCAGGTTCAGGATAAAGGTTGTGGCCAGAAAAACAGGAGGAAGACCTCTAAAGAGATTAGTTGTGAGATCGGCTGACCCAACCCCCTCCTCCCCAGCAATCCTCTGAATATCGGACCCACATGGCTGGGGAATGACTGAGAGGGTCAAATCCAGGCAGAATCTGGATGTCAGCCATGATATGAGAACTCAAAGCTCCAGAATAAGCCTGGTTGGGGATTCCTCCCACCCTGCCAGTACATGGGGAAGAGAAATCCCACACCTCCCCACCGGAGGAAATTCCCCTAACCATACGAGAGTGGGAAGGGAGGCCTGAAGCCCCACCTACTCCCACTACCCACTCCTCCTCCCCTGGGTCAGGCACTGGGGAGATTGTGAATGAGGCCAAAGCTCTGCAGGAGACAGCAGAGAAGCAGCTGAGAGGAACAACTACAGAAGGGCAAGAGGGCAGGGTTTTTTGCCTGTTTGTTAGTTTTTTAAATTTTTAAATATTTTACCTTGTGCATGAATGTATATGTGAGAGTTTGATCTGCACCCCCTGT